GATATCAAAAAAGTACTCCAGAGTGTTGTTCAGCATGGGGGTGAGTAGAAAATGAAGGCTAATCATGTTTTGGGTGTACTATTCCTTTAACAGACCACTAATTTGAAGTATTAGTAAAAGAATGCATGCCACACTTTTTAGTTTTGCCTTTCTAAAAATGTTAGTCTATCCTTTATTTTTTCTTTCTCTTCCTAAAAAGCCAAACAGCGTAAATATTTCTGTATTTGACGTCTTAGTTTCTCCTTTTTTCAGCCGTCTGCGTTGCCGGATACGACTCGTCTAAAAATGAAATCCTGGAACTCTGTTTGCCGTTGAAACTTTTGGCGGATGAAAAGAAGGTGGGGAGCAAAGATACTGAAACTGTCTTTGATGTTATGAAACGGCTCTCCAGATACATCTAAGCTTCGACGTGGCGTGTTGTGTTCAGGGTCTCTGTGCGGAGAGGGACTTCAAAGTTGTCCATGGTGGTTTCTCAGAAGGGCCCATTCGCTGCCTCAGACACGTCCCAGGAACCCGGTGAGTTGTGACACCTGCGGCGTAAAGAGCCCAATCTGCTGAGCCGGACCGCGTTCTTTGTTCTGTCTGAGCCTCTGATGTGCCTCCCCTGGAGGAAGACGCCTTCAAAGCTCCTGGGATTTTCTTTGAAGCAAAAGTAAATTGATTAATCCTGAGGAACAAAGACATTATTAAGTAGAAATCAAATCCAAACAGAAGCAGAAATATGAACAAACCGTGAAAGAAACTTTTAATATTTCTTTAGACAGTTTGTTTTATACTTATTGTAAAGTTGGGATAAATAAACATGTATATCTCATGATAAACACTTCTACCTCCTGCTTATTTTTAAAGGGCTTTAGCTCTGTTCTCATATGGAGACGCATCTATTATAGATCAGGGGTCTCCAACCACAGCTGGCTCTTTAGACCCTCCACTGTGACTCTTAAGTTTGGCTTAATCTCAAGTTTTTACAATAATTCTGATCCTCAATGTGAACAATGTTAAAAACAACAGACAAAGCTAGAAATCTTGGTGTAGTCATGGACTCTGACCTGAATTTTAACAGCCACATTAAGACAATTACAAAGTCAGCCTATTATCACCTTAAGAATATATCAAGGGTTAAAGGACTTATGTGTCAACAGGACTTGGAAAAACTTGTCCATGCTTTCATCTTC